GGCCGAGAGCGGCCACTGCACTCCAGTCTGGGCGACAGAGTGAGACTCCAACTAAAAAAAAAATAAAAGACACCATGATGTGGTCTGATTCACACATTCAAAACGAGATTGGCCCTTGCTTGACTTAATATAGGCGGTGGCTCACGCCTGTAATCCCAGCAGAGGCCAAGGCAGGAGGATTGCTTGAGCCCAGAAGTTCAAGACCAGCCTGGGCAACACAGCGGGACCTCATCTCTACAAAAAAAATAAGCCAGGCATGGAGACGCACACCTGTAGTCCCAGCTACTTGGGAAGCTGAAGTGGGAGGGTTGCCTGAGTCCAGGAGGTAGAGGCTGCGGTGGCTGTGAGGGTGCCACTGCACTCCAGCCTGGGCGACAGAGTGAGACTCCAACTCAAAAAAGATAAATTAAATAAAGGACCGTCTTCAATCTGTAGTTATTTAAAGAATGAAAGGGAAGAGGTTGACAACACGAATTAGTCACGGCATAACTTCACTGTTCTGGTCAGTATGAGCCTCGGACAGTGGCTGGTCGGGGCTTGTCCGCTGGCGGGAGAGTGGTCCCCCTCGGGTTCACGCTTCGCCTCGAGGGGAGACCAGCGCCACCCCCAGTGACAGCAGCGGACACAGCAGAAATACCCGGGCCTTCCCCAAGGTCGAGGGCCAGCCACGTTGGGTGCACGTGTGTCTCAGGGTGACTGTCCTGGGACCCTGGCTGGAGGAGTCAGAAAAGGGTGACACCAAATGACCCCCCCCCCAAAAAACCCTCTGTAGTGTTTTCCAAAGGTCACGTATCCAGAAAAAGCAGGGCTCCTTGGCCAGCAGCTGCTTCTGGAGTTGGAGAACAAGATCAGGAGGAACCTGGGACACGGGGTCACAGTCCGCGGGCCACGGCGCCCGGGCCAGGCCTGCAGAGCCACGCAGCCGTGGGCTAGTGCCACGGACCAAAGAAACGAGTGCGAGTCCACGCTGCCTGACACAACCACTCAAGAGATGAATCCTTCTTGGAGAATTCCAGAAAACAGATGGAGAGCCTCCCATCAGCGGAACAGCTGGCCACACTCCGCCACATGTAGAGACTCGTAAATTCCCAGGGGAGCCCTGGGAACACCGGCCTGCCGAGTGGCCAGGTTCAACCTCCCCGGCCGTGTGTGGCCCTGGGGACCCCAACGCCTCTGTGAGAGACGGGCCCCCGCCTCTGTGGGATCTCCCCAAAGCCCACAGCCCTTGTCTCATCATGAGAAATCCAGGTGGCCTGAGGCTGGGGCATCCCGGGGGACGGGCCACACTCCTCAGGTAAGAGGTTGAGTTCATGCATCGTGGGACTCTGGCTTGGCTCTTGGGGCCAAAAGACGACGTTAGTGGAAAAAGTGTCAAAATCCGGATACAGTAGGGAGTGTAGCCAATAGGAACACACCCGCATCGCTTTCTTTGTTTTTCTTTTAGTTTTCTGATCTTCGCGGAGAGGGGTCTCACTATGTATGCACCGACTAGGCTTGAACTCCTGGCCTCAAGCAATCCGCCTGCCTCGGCCCCCCCAAAGGACTGAGATTACAGGCGTAAGCCACCACACCTAGCATATTCTTGGTTTCAACCAATGTTAGGGCCCCACATGGGGTAAATGGATGGGGCACATAGGAACTCTCTGTACTATCTTTGCAACTTTTCTGTAAATTTAAAATTATTCCCCAGTAAAAAGTTTACTTTTAAAAACATGGTTCAGGCTGGGCACAGTGGCTCAAGTCTGTAATCCCAGAGGCCAAGGTGAGAGGATTGCCTGAGTCCGGGGTTCCAGACCAGCCTGGGCAACTTGGCGAGACCTCACCTCGACAATAAATTTAAAAATTAGCCTAGCGTGGTAGCATGCGCCTGTAGTTCCAGCTAATTGGAAGCCTGAGGTGGAAGGCTCGCCAGCACCCAGCAGGTCGAGGCTGCGGTGGCCGGGAGCGGCCACTGCACTCCAGCCTGGGTGACAGAGGGAAACTCCAACTCAAAACAAAACAAAACAAAACAAAAAAGGAATCCGGGAGGCAGGGGGTACCCGGTTCTCTTTCTGTGTCTGAATCTGGGGACCCCGTCCACACACCCTTGGGCTCCTGGCCTGTCCCCACAGCTTGACAGGAGGGACCTGCATGTCCGGGTCATTTCCCCAACAAGGTCACCCTTGCATGCTGCCCGGGCCTTCAGCCAGACACTTGGAGGGGTCCCTGGGGCCACCCGGCCCACGCTTGTCAGGAAGAACGAGGGCAGGGGCTGACCCAGGGGAAATGCTGGACCCTGGAGAAGACCCCCGGAGCCGCCCACTGAGGTCCCAGGAGAGCGGGAGGTCCAAATGGGGACGGGGGAGGCCCAGCTGTCCCATGACTGCCTCAAGGGGCCACCTGCCCTCTGCTGCCACCATGCCCACTGCCCACGGCACATCCTGCCCGCTCCGCCCCCCGCCCGGCCCCACCTGGCTGCTGTTGGAGAAGGCATACAGGGCCAGGGGCTTCTC